CTACTGATCTTCCAAACTGGTGGCAAACTGGTGGCAAGTGACCATTTGCTCACTAGCCATGGTCATTACCTGGCAGGAGTTGTAAGTGGGTAAGTCAGTCATGGAAAGAAATGCATTTGAAATTTTCCCATGTTTTGCCTACATCCAAGACTGAGTGCAACTTGAAGTCTTAAAAGTAAGAAACATGCAAAAGTCTTAAAAGTAAGAAACATGAAATTAGCATGCTGATCACTTATGGCAAGGCTTCTAGCCATTTGTCATAACATTTCTGACTTACAGAGGCTCACCTAACTTCTCTCTCTCCTTCTCCCTGGAATCTAATCATAGCTATTTGTATTGCTTTTATAGCCCTGTTTTGCATACTGACTTGCTACATCATATTTTCAAGTAAACACCAGTCTGAAAAGTACCTGCCAGAAAAAGTGTGCACCTGTTCCCAGAACTCTGGCAGCAAACCAAGAAAGAAATCCAGGCCAGTTAACACTGGCCAAAGAAGTGGGCCAGAAGTTTGAAGTGGAAAGGTTATATATCTGAGAGCTGCAGTAGCTGCCTGAGCATTTGTAATAATGACTTGGCTGTACGGGTGAAGCCAGCAGGACACAGGAAAAAAAGTTGGGGGTCTGAAGGCCAGAATCAGAGGCTGGCAGAGCCAGCAGGAAAAACAGGGAAATATTTTCATAAAATGCACAGAGAAAGAAACCAGGCATTAAGCTGAGCTTTAAATGGCAAAGGCATCTTACATGCAGCCTTTCCTTGGAAAGGAGACAAGGAGAGTGGGTCCTGGCATGGTACTGTAGGACTAACAGAGCTATCATAAAAGAGCAAGGATTCCATCTTCCTGAAGCAGCTTATGTCAGTCATCTGAGCTTATAGGCAAAGTAGGTAGGGACCCAGATCCATGGGATCAAGGACTTCTAGTTTTCTCTGAGCTCAGTGCCCCCCTGCATTTGGCACTGGGGCTGTGACCTAGCAGCAGACAGCAAGTAAGAGTCTCCCACCACCCTGCTACCCCCCTCAGCTGCTTAACTGTCCCATGCACCCCTCCACCTCTCTCCTTTTCCAAGATTTCCCTTGTGCCAGATGCCACAGCTCACCTTCTCTGGGAACAGAAGTCCACTGCATGCCTGCAAGCTACAGGGAGGAGACTGCTGTGTCCCAGGCAGATGGGTAGGAGAACTGGATCTTGAGAGGTTTGTCTCCTGGCAGGGGAGGAAGCAGCAGCTCTTGCCTGCTTTGCTGCTTTTGGCGCCATGAAGCTTTAGTTTGGGTTACCCATGGACATACGTAGAGGTGGAGTCACTCAGTGACACCCCTTGGGAGGATGAAGAGACAAGCAGAAAACTTGAATTCCATATGACACTGTAATTAAATGGAAACAAGAGAACAATTGGTGCAGTGAAACCGGAGGTTTAATGTTGCTCTTGACCTGGTGAAAACCACAAGCTACTCATATTTTCTCTAATTTTTCAAACCATTTTCCTTTTTCCTTTCCATTGTTTTGTTTGCAATGCTCTTCAGTGGGTGTGCTTTGACCTATTTGTTCCTCTGCATATGCCTAATGAACCACAAGAATGCCTAGTGCCTATTAGATAATGTATTTCTTTATGGGTTTGTAGATGCTCATGCAGAAACACATGCATTAAAGGCTTCACTTTGGTTGGCAAATAGCACTTCCTAATGTGCTCACCACCCCAGATTGCATTTTACTGGGGTAAAAATAAAGGGAAACTGTCTCAGCCTACCTGGGTTACCTCCATGACATTTCCTGCCATCATGTTTTGTTTGCTGGTGTCCTGTCTCCCAGATTGAGTAGAGGAGCACTGCACAGCCCGGGGCAGGGAAAGCCCTCTGCAGTTCCCAGCAGAGGCAGGCCCTGGGGACTGAGAAAGCCGTCACAGCTGTGACTTTGGTTCTTTGGTTGACCAGGTCTTGAAAAAGTGACCTCAAACCAGGTGGGGGTTGTACACTGTGAACTCATGACAAACACTGTGGGTTCTGATGAGGTGTGCTACAACCACTAACCAGATTTTTTAAAGCTTGTGGGACAGGTTTCAGCAAGTTGTCTCCTGGCAAAGTGTCTCTGGAAGAAACATCATGCAACCACAGACTGATGACTAAAGCTATGTAAGGACTGGTGCTTACTTCAACTGGAGCTGTAAGTGCAGTGAAGAGCAACTGGGGGCAGCGCCGAGCACCAAGGCAAGGGAACTGAGAGAACCTGAGAACCTGTACAAAACAGAGTAGTGCTGAGACAGGTTTTGGAGCTCAGTAGGAAAGATGTGGGCATGCATGGAACTCAGGGTAGTTCTCATGGCTTGACATAAAGATTAGGATCAGACTGTGATGGTAGGCAGTAAAGCCAGAAGATGAGTGGAGAAGGGATCCCAGAATCACAGAATATTCTGAGTTGGAAGGGACCCACAAGGATTTTGTGACAATCTGTCTTTCTATAAATGCATTATCTCCCAAAGTAATTATGAAGGGTGATAGTTCTGTTGCATTTTAGTTCTAAGACCAGATGTGTATGATAGATATGGTACATTGCCTACATGCAGCTTGATTAGTCAGTCATCTTTCTTACTGGATTGATGGGGAAATCACTTTTGTGATGCTGCAACTTTCTCTTCTCTTTATTCCTTCTTCTTTCTAGTGTTGATTTTCCCGTGTTCAACAGTTTTCCCTTCCATTTCCTGTAATTTTCCTCTCTATTTTTCTCTGACTTTGCAAGCTGGGATAGAGGCAACAACATTTTCTTAGTTTAGTAACGGCTCAGGAGGTACATGTTTTCTCCTGGAACTAAAATATTACTACATTTTATTCACATTTATTTTAGTTATTGCTTTACATTTAAAGGCTTATGGGGTTTTATCTTTGGTTTGGGGAGAGATTTGTGTCTCAGGAGTGCTGATTTTCAACTGAAAGAGCAAATCTGTTGACTTTTTGGTCACATGCATTGCATGTTTGCAGGAGCATTCATTTGACTTCCTGATAGTCATCCATTTCAAAAGCATTTTGAAAGATTCTTATTGTTGTCAAATAATTTGTTTGCAATAGACTATATCCAGTGATTCCGTATCTTTTCCTTGTACTTTGTGCTGAAAAATTCACTGGGTTGCAGATTAGTTACTAACTTGCTTGTAGAGATTATTTGGAAAACAACTAGGAACTAAACATTTTCTGCACTGCATTAATTATTCAAATTGCCATTTGAATCCTTGAATTTAGCTCAACATATTTAGATAACAACAAGAACACCAGCTTTCATTCTGTTGCTGATGTGGGACAGCTACAATTGCCAGAAGAAACTGAAGTGAAATTACATCACTGCAAGTTAGATTATTACATTTCTTGACCAATATAGCGGAGTTTATTCCAGATAAAGGTGTATTCAGCTACCTTAGAGACAATTCTTTGTATTTCTTACACACACTGCCTTTAATAGTAGGGAATAAAACTGTGAGTGAACTGTATCTCCTATGGACTTGGGCTGCAATTGTGAACACCCAGCTCTTCCGAGTTAGATGCCCCCTGCAAGACTCTGAGAAAATTGACAAACACTTAACTTGCAGTCAGCTGTAAAATCAAATGACTTCTAAGTTGTCACATGGCACCACCACAGGAATGAACACTGCTTGTGTCTAGCTCACTTCAGAGGTGCACCAGTAATTTGAGCTGGCCTCTGGGCCATGGCTCAGTCCTGCCCACAGCATGTTTGTGTTCTTCTTCCTGTGCCCTTCAGCCTGCCCAGAGATCCCTGCTAGACTGGTACTGATACCCCACCTTAGCTAGTGTGAAATAAGCTCATGCCCATGAACTTAGGCACAAAAGTTGCAGCTGCAGCACACTCACCTGTCTGTAACAGAGGCAGGAATACCATCCATTTCCTCAAGGTTTCCTACACTCTTCTGTGGTGAATAGTCCCAACATCTTGTTCTGCAAAAATATGGTACATCCTGAAAGTCCATCCTGTATCCTAAACGAAGACAAGGCCTTACAAAATAAAGCAAGGCCAGAACAAAATAATACTGGACTACATAATTTAAGAAGGTCCTGAAACGTATGAACAGGGGGACTGACATGAAGTCACAAAATCAGTCTTCTAATATATCCTAATTCTGAGTCCTTTGTTGTATACCCTTAATGATTTTTTTTAAAATCGGTTGTGTGCCTATGATACCTAGGTGAATTGAAGGGTAAGGACTGAAGAGCTGACAGCTAAGGGGAAAATATATAGCAGAGTTAAATAAATAACTTTAGAAGGCACACAGTTTAGCTATATACTTGGAAGAAGCTTGGTTTTGTAAAGGGCAGGATGTGAAGGGAGCCTCTTGGGAGAGGGGGAAAAGTACTAAGGTATTTTCAGCTCAAGGGAAGACAAATTACAGAGGTCTGAACTCTGGTTCCCAGCCCAGAATACACTGAAAATTTTCTTGACAGGGTAAAGACTGGAATAGCCCCTGAAGAACAGACAGAATTTCCTAGCTTTCAATTTGTTATTTTTATTATATGTACACATAGGCTGTAGAAAACTGCTACTGAGAACAGAATCCACCTCTGGTTATTCCCAGTGACAGCCATCAAAAAGCAGGAGCTGCTTTTCCAATCAAGGAATCATCTTGTTGTGATACAATGCTAAAAACATACTGTGAGGTCACTGAAGCATCATACAGAAAACTTTCAGACTGGAAGCGGTCAGGATCATAAAGATAGAAACAGGAGAGGACAATCAAATGATTAACAACCCCTCAGATTTCTTCTAGCATGATACACTTCTCTGGGCAGAACACAGCATTAATGCAGCACAGGATTCCAAACAAATTCATTTTTTCATCCTCTTTATCAGAGGCAGAATTATTTAATAACTTTCTTTTGAAATAGCAAGGTCCAGCCCCAAACGCTTGAGCGCTGAGGTACGGAGAGATTCTCCAGGAGCCCAGTGACTCCCGCCTCAGTTGGGTGGGGCTTCATTTTGCTCCTGGCAACAGCTCCTCAGGGTGTAGTTCTTCCCCTGCCGGCTTTCCCTAGCGTTTCATGGCAGGGGGTAAAACTTGAGGAGGGATAATCCTGCCCCTGGATCCCTGCAGGATCGCAATCCCCCTCGACATACACACGGTGACGATTGGTTTATTAACAGATGGCAATTCCGGGAGGCTGGGGGTGGTTCCCTGCCCCCCGCTTTGCGAGTCTCCCCTCTCGGACTGTCGGGGCGGGGGAGAGGCTCCTGCCGCCGGCCCCAGGAAGGGGAGGAGAGGGACGAAAAGCAGTGTCTGCGGCTTCGTAGGGAAGTCTGCGGCTTCGTAGGGAAGTCGATCAGAAAAGACAGACTCTATGAAGGGGAAGACGTAGCACTGCATCATCTGTCGTCATGTGAGTATCTCCTCCCCCTGGTGGGCTTTGGTATAAATGGAAGAGGAATTTCAGCACACTGGAGCTAAACAACGTTTCTGTGTAAATACACAACGTGCTTCCTCCTACGTTTTCTCTACTAGATGGGGCTCAGATGAACAAGCCTTTATCTTGAATCCCGTCGTAAGCACCACCATGTGGGAACCGGGCTGGATCTACCAGAGGCTGCAGCAACAGCCTGGGCGGCCCTGAGCAGAAGCGAGGAGTTCTGTCCTCTTCTTTGGGATGACTTAAAATAAGCTGCACTGTTAACAAGCGGTAAGTGAATACCCCTGGTTTATCCAGCATAGCTCTGTAAACCCTTGCATAGGCTGAGTGGATCTCGTGGACGGTGCCTCAACCCATAGGACTGGATGCGCTGGAAGTGCTTGTTCCCGAGTTTGCCGGCGTCTCTGCCGCAGGACATGAGACGGTTGTCGGGAGACGTCCCACGGTTGGACACGACGGATCTCGGAGGTCTTTTCCAACCTTAACCGTTCCATGATGTTCTTGCGTCATTTCAGACAGGAACGCTTCCATCTTTAACCTCATGTACAGTTTGTATGCATGCTTCCAATTTTAAAATTTCCTTCAGGTGAATGCTGATGGCCGCAGCTGCCATTGTTATTCAGTGTAAATTACCGCGTATTCAAAGGCAGAGCTAGTTCTTTCAGTACATCCGCGTGTTCCTCGGTGAAAGCACTCAAGGAATTAAATTGAATTTCCAGAGGGATGGAGCCTACAAGCCTCCTTTGAAGAGAGCACAATTTTAATCTGTGTTGAGAGCTGGTGAGATGAGACGTCCCAGACCTTTCCCAGAGATTCCTGGGAACTTCACGGCAAAAATCTTACCACGGCGGTGTAGTCGGGAGCCGGTTCCCGGTGGGGATGAGCCCAACAGAAACCGAAGTGCCGCCGCCCCCCGCTTTCCCGGCGGCTCTTGGATGCTCCTGATGCCGCAGGCGGGCCGCCGGCGCCGGGGAGCGGGGCGCAGGCCGGGCTGAGGCGCTGCTCGGGTCCGCATGCGGGGCCGGGTGTCGCCCCCTTCGAGCAGCGGGGAGCGCGGGAGGGTCCATCGGGCAGCTGTGCGCCTCCGCACACAGGTAGGCGGCTCCCGGGGGCGCCACTGACGAAGGGAAGGGGCCGCCCGCCTTTTCCCGGCTGCTCCTGGTGGGCTCGGGGCGGGGGAGCCACCCGCCTTCCCCCGGCCTCCCGGAGCAGCTCCGCTGGTAGGCCGGGGCGGCGGGCGGAGCCGCTTCGGGGCCCCCCGCGGGCGGTGATTCGCGGCGGGCGGGCGAGCGCGCCGGCGGGAGGTGAGTGCGGGAAGGGGGATGGGGAGACAGGGGGATAAAGGGGCGGCGGGCCCCGGTGCTCCGAGGTGGGCAGAGCAGGGCTGGGCGATGCTGGGCTCATGCGGGCAGAAGAGCCCCGCCAAGGGGAGCCTCCCGGCGGAGCTGACCGCGACCCGTAAGTAAAATTAGACGGGAGATTTCGTGGCTTCTGCTGAATTGCTTGGGTCGGGTAATCCCTGACCGTTTTGCCATGCCTGCCGGTCTGACAGGTTCGGATGAAAGATTGCGTCTATCGAGGGTACCGAAAGGGAACTGCTCCTTGGAAATCCCGAAGGCCTCGGGGAAGAAACAATGGCTCTGTGGGTAGACTCTGCCTTAAGCTATGCAAATCCATTATTTGCATTTGAGGAAAGAAGCAAACTCTGGAAGTTTCATGTCCGCTGCCTTTTTTTTTTTTTAACTATTTGCATTATTATTTGACAGCGGGGGTGGTGTTTTGGTTTTAGAGCAAGTGGTGAGATCAGTCCTGCTGCCCTTTCTCAAAATTTCCAGGGAGATGAGCAGCTGGTGTGAGATTGTGCCTGTTGTTACCCAGCTGAAACTTTCTGTCTAGTTTTCTTCAATTTTTGTCTCCATCTGTGTTTTACTGAGCTATTCTCTCATAGTGTGATTGCAGAACTATTAAGATTGAACTTTGTGATGAGATAAGATTACTTATTTTAACCTGGCAATTCACCTGAACTGTGTGGAAATGTTATAGATAAAAAATAAGAAAATGTTACAGAGAAAAGGTATATATAAAATATTTCTGTGGAGAGTGCCATGGTACTAGACTGGTCACTCCTAAACTGAAGGAACTAAATCCAGAGAGGTGTTGAAGGAAAAGGAAATGTGCACAGAGCAGGGTTTCCTACCCATCAACATGCAATGTGCTTGTCTGACTAGGTCTCAGAATTGATATTTCTGAAAGTAAAATAACTCTCCTTTCACATGTAGGACTTCACCAGCTGTACCTCTGGTTTTTATTTCACTTAAATAAATCTACTTATCTTTTTTCCCCCGTCCGATGCAATACCTGCTCCTTTAGCTCATCTGTCTCTGCTGAACTGACACAGTCCATTAAGTTAAATTTTAGGCTTTTGCCTCTTATTAAGGCAGCAGAATTAAAGATGTCTAAGTCTCAGGTCTCTCCTGAAGGTCATAGTGGCTTTAGCAGACTTCTCATGCTTGTGGGATATATGACTCATCCCCCGAGGCTCATGAGTCTCCCAGTGTCCTTATCCCTCCCTGTTCAAAGGTAGGAGGAAAAGCTCTTCTGGAAGCAGTTGCCGGTTGGGAATGTGTCCGTGGGACTGCGGCGTGTCCAGTTGAGACTAGAACCTGAAAACTGATAGAAAGATCACCAATACCTGAGTTCTAAGTTATAAACAGGTGGGGAGATACTTGAGTTACAGTGTTTTTGGCTAGAACAAGGTGTTGGATAAGACATTATGTTGATATGTACTGTGTGTGCTGTTAAATAATGGTTTTAGCAATTACGCAGGGGAGTTGCCTGACCGAAGAGGGAAATACAGCGGCTGAAGTGGTGACAGATCTCCTTTGCAGCAGGAAGGCTGGAGATGCTTCTCCCTCACCTCCTCCTCAAGACTCTGATAGTTTACAAGCAGAGGCAGCTTTAGAAGATTTTCGATGATTGCATTCTTCCTTAGGTCTTAATTTTTGAATAGAAGCTGTTGTGATAGCTTATTTGTGCCATTAGCGCTTCTATCTTGGGCTTGTTCTCTTTGTTGGTTTCTGAAAATGCTGTGATGGCTGTCTGTCGGTAAAAGTTTGGTTTGTCTCCCCAAAACAGGTTTGGAAAAGTTAACATAAACCTGTTTTGGCTGATTGGTGGTTTTCTTTTTGGTGTTGTTTCATATGCTCCTGGGTGTTGTTCTAGATACACTGGCCTGGAAGAGGATGCAGTCAGATAGATCATCTGAAGGTAAAACTTGTAAGACCACCATAAGTCTCAGTGAGGTTGTCTACACCATTGACTTAAAAGGGCTTTTGAGGAAAGGCTCCTGGTTTTGTGGTTTTTTTTTTCGTTCATACACAATACAGCTTGCTAGCTGTAGCACAGGATCTGTGTGTGTCTTGGTACATTAACATTTAAGGTTATTTTACTTATGAGCATAAAAGGTTGATTTTCCTTCGTGTATGATGTGAGGTACTCTGCCTTGGCTCCTTGGTTAAATGCATTTTAGGGATGGGCTCAAGATTTCTTGAAATACCTTTTTTTACAGAGAACTTTCCCTGCAGATGTTTGCACTCTTTCAACTAAATCAGTTGAAGTGTGCCCTGTGTTTTGAGGAGGAATTTAGTTTTTCAAGCTTATGACATGTAATTTGTCATTCATTTGAATAGTTTATTCATCAATTTTTCTAGCTTTATAGATAAGCTGTAGTATAGTAATACAGAGTAACTAATTTATGGGGTAACTGAATGTACAGAATTTTTCCTTTTTCAGAGTGTCTGTTTTCTACTATCAATTTTCTCAAAACACCAGAAGCTGTGTAGCAGAGTAAACCATCCCCTAAACTTCCCCTTTAATCCAGTTTTTTCTGCTTTTGCAGTGTTACATATGGTTGCTTGCGTACTTATTCACAGTCTTCAAGAGAAATGAAAATAAAGCTACTTGGACATATTACTTGCTGTGTGAATTTCCTAAAGCTTAAATTTTTCTTTTATTCTCCTTCCAGAAGAGCCTAAAAGCTCAGCTTTTCTTGATTTGATGTACATTGAGGTCTAGAGGAAAACAGGATGTGCGTGCTATTGTTTTCTTTATAAGACACTTTTCAACAGCTGTCACTTTGCAGTTTAGTGTATTAATCGCTGATACCAGTAGTGGTGTTTGTACAGAGAGGTTGAAAAATGATGGGCAGTATTAGCTAGCGTGGGCTGTAAAGCAAAAGCAGGGAATGCGTGGGTTGCATGCAGTGTTGCTACCTTTAGAAAAATGGGTTGAAGAAATGCAGGTACAGAGTGTGGTAAAATACTCTGCAGCAGTGCTTCTTGCTGTGTTCTGTACCTATCATTCTAAAATACCATGTCCTTTTAAAGTTAATTTTGCTCAGGTGGATTGGCTCTTCAGTGTTCCAGGCTTGGTTGTTCTTTGGTCTCAAAGGCAAAAATGAAGCCTTGGATCTTGTGAGGAAGACCCTTTACAGCACTGTCACAGAGTAAGCAAATTGTGAGTGTCCCTGGATAATACCCTAAATTTGTGTGGAACTGTTCAGTAACCTCTGCTCCCAGACACAACAGCAGCAGTAAATCTGGAATATGATGAGCCAGGGTTTTTTTTTTTACATTCTAGTGTAAATGGAGAGCCAGGAAGAACAAAGTAAAAAAAAATGAAATACCCTCCACTTGCCCTGACTTTGAAGGGAAGGCTGGAAAACCTACAGAACCAGTTGATCCTCCCTTCTGTTAGGAGGGCCAGAATGGAGTAATCTAGGAACTGGTTTTAAGAGCAGGCAGGAGTGAAATGATGGTCTCTCTTAATCACTGAAACTCTTAATATCTCTTGATTTACAGTGTAAGTTTCCATTTCCTGTGCTGCAGTATTGCTTTCTTTTGGGCCACTAGCCAGTAAGAAACTTTATTTGTAAGGTGTGTGGCTAGCAGTCTTAGATTTCCACAGACTCTTTGACTCACTTTTAAAAGAATAGTTTTAGCCCTTGTTGTGAGTGCAGGTCAGAAGCACTAAAATAGGGATCTGCTGCCGAGCTCAGAAAAGTTCTTTGTTGGACTGGATCTGCAGACTAACATTTGCATTGCAGAAGTAGGCAGACACTGCTTGTTTTCCCTGCTTTGTGGAGTCCTGAGGCCAGCAGTGAAATGAGAATGGTGTGAAGGGCATGAGCCTTACCCTGGGCCTTAGCAGAGGTGGGCAGAGGAAATGTGATGGCCATTTAATAGTCAGTACAGAATGTGTGTGTTTAAAATACAAATTGCATCACATGTGGGGTGAGAAGTCCCTTTCTCAGAGTAAGAAACAAACTGAAGTTGTGTTTTTTGCCATAATAATTTTTTTATTTTTTTTCTCATGTACTTGTAGGTTAACATAGCTCCTTCCTGGGCAGGTAATTTTTGAGGGTGGGTTGTGCTGACAGTTTTTTGCCTACAGGCTGATGTTTGGGGGGAATTGACCTATTTCAGAACAGGGGCATCCAAGCACAATGCAAGGGAAGATCCTGTGGGTTTTTTTTACCGCAGTGAAGAGACAGGAATATGTTTGCTGACAAGGAGCTGTTGGTGAAGGAAACCTTGTTTATAATTTACGAGTTAAAATAGGTATTTCCTGGTTCTTGAAATTTCCAGAACCTGCCTACTTCCTATGATCCACCAGTGTTGCATCTGAGCACCGTGGAAACATCATTTCTACCTCTGCAGTGCTTCAGGTAGTCTGAAGTTGATGTGTGGGACTGAGACCAGGAGAGGGTGGTGTAGATGTGAGATGGGCTATAAGGTTTGTTTGAACACATTTGCTCAAGATTAAATGGAGACATAATATGAAATCCACTTGGTGAAGCATGGGAACAAGTTAGGATTTGTCCAGATTGCTGAATGTGCACAAGGCTTGCTGGCATGTGGTAGCTAGTTTTATGTGCCCCTTGCGTAGACAAGTTACTGCCTTCTCATTTTGTATCTGTGAAAAGCCTGAGTTTGATTTTTTTTTCTTTGTTTGTTTTGTTTTTCCTTGCAGGAAACTGTTAAATTATGGCTGGCTTTGCCGTATTTAATAAGTCAGGGTGACACTTGTCTCAGCT